TAATTTAAGCCAGTAAATTAGTTTGTCTATCGTAAGTGATATTGAGCGAGTAAATAACGCCTGTTAACAAACACAAATGAAAAACAGCAAAAGTTAATTCCTCAAAGATATTTGTCATGCAAACGCACAAGTGAAGACATCTATATACAACAACAACCACAAAGTACGAAGTATTAAATGATACCCTCCCCCCCCCCCCCCCCCCCCCAGAAAAAATATTAAAATTAAAAAAATAATGTTTTGTTTATTTACATAGACTAATTAAAACAAATGTTTTTAATGTTAATTGAAGTACAATAAGTCTTGGTGCTATTAAATTACATTGTTCATATCTGTATCGGATAATTTATACACAAAACACTAATATGATTATAAAACCCCTATTAAAGCATGTATTTTCCATTAACATTTACTTATATCTACATTTAAACATTCATATGATAAGAAATCAAATTACTTTACATAATCTCTTAATATTTTTATACTTTCCGAGTTACACGAATGGTTTATGAAAAGAATATTTTATTCGTGAACGTAAGAAATAATACCTAATCATTAAACCTTCAACTTTTCATTTTTGTTCGATTAACATTACTTTTTGGTTCTTTTTGTTTGTTTGTTTGGTTTTATGGCTCACAGTATATGTCATACGGCGTAAAAAAACAAACAGGAAAGATGATTTTGGCTAACCCTAATTGTTACAAATTTAAAGCAACATCAGGGCTCAACATCACCTCACTTGCTGGAGCTAAAAGATGTATAGACCCCAGTTATTCGAATCCATTGAGTCGCCTCTTAAGATCACGCAGGATTAAACTACATCTGCAATTCTGATAGGCAACCCTTCTTTCAAACAATCCAATTATACCTATATACGAGAAAGATGAATTAACATAGAAATGACTTCACAGAAGAAGCAAAATAATCACACAAATAAGTCACAACTGATTACAAGTATACAGCCACAACTAAAACTACTGTAGAAGCGTGCAATGCATGATTTATTCTGACTTCGTCTACAAATTTTCTTATTTTCAACACTGCACTTTGACGATTGTATCTCATAAGGTTTTAACGTAGCAGGGGGATTATCTTCAGAGTAGTTATTTAATTCGTTGTTCAAAATCGTAGAAAAGTAGAATAAAAAGTTAATACTTGCTTATGATGTTTTGCTATCCAACCCTGTTCTGACAAAGTTCCTATAATACAATAACACTATAGGAAATGATTACGCTTATCTTTTTAGGTCGTATCAAGCTTTGTGTTCTATGAACTAGATATTTCTATATTAGGTCAGTTACAATAAATTCCCAAAGGGATTTCATCTTTCTTGTATTGGAAGATCTTCATTCAAAGTTAGAAATGATATCAGATGTGACAAGGATATTCCATTTATTGTAACATAATACAGAAAGGCTTCCTGGTTGTAAGCTGATCGTTCTATTTATAGATTAATATTATATTTGTAGGACTGTTAATTAGTATATAGAAATATATAAAATATCTCGGGATAATCTGCAATATGTATGTATCAAATTATACATTCACACGACAGTCTATCCTCAAGTCGCCATTTGCCCCAGAAATGCTTTTATTTTTATTTTACATCAGCTCTGTTAAAACTTCTAAACATTTACTCACTGGCCAAAAACCTAAACCATATCTATTTCTGCTGCTTTTTTTGCAATTAGTACACATATTTTGCTTAAGTATTTTGTATGGAAGTCAAAAATACTACTTTATTTACATTTTGCTACTTTTGTGACAAATAATTAGACATTCAGCGCAAATTTCTTCAGGTGATAAGCATCTAACATGCTATAAAACCGTTATATAAAAATGATAAAACTCATACTTACCATTTCTCAAGATGAAAAAACAGTCATTTTATGAGGCATAGGGTGCCTGTAACATTCCTCGACCATACATTGTTGTCAAGAACAAGCTGATAATACTTTTTTGTCAAACCGTTAAAGCAAGACACTCGATCAATTATGTTGCAATCAGAGTTCATTTGTAGGCCATAGCTATACTATACATTTTAACATTTATTTACCCAACTATAATGCTTCTTCACTTACATGTAAATAATTTATGAACCTTTTACGAACAAACAAGTCTCAATGATATTAAGGCAAAGCTATCAAATGACCCATTAACGTTTCCAAGGCTTGCTTTAATGTACCCAATAAAAGCTAGCAAATTAGTTTGTCTACAGAAAGTAATGTTAAGCGCGTAAATGTCGCCTTTTTAGATAAGAACGGGACACAACAATAAGACATTAATGCTATAAAAGCCAGTAAGGTAGGACAAAAATTCTCGTTTTCCTTGAATGAAATGAAGGGATAGGAGTAAATTTGTTTAAAAAAATTCAGAATATTTTATTGTTTCGTTTGCGTTCAATTTCATATATTAGATATTTTTTTATAAAAAATTTGCAATTTGTATATTCGTATATTTGATTTAACACATGCATTTCGGACACATTTACATAAAAGATTTTAATAAGATAATTCATCAAGATAACGTAACAATAGTTTATAAAGTTAAAAAAGTATTCAAACAAGATGATTAAACGAAGCAAATCACGAGATTATCTAACACGAATATTTTAGATAGATAATGTCATTTACAAGAAGATAGATAATGTAACAATGAACTAACAAGATAGTTTATCAAAACAATGGTAAAAGATAATGTTTGATCAGTTACACACGATTATTGAACAAGATTCTCATTTATTCGTTTCATATTTTACATGTAGCATATAATAAAAAATCAAAAAAAATCCCTTATTAGCCTTCAAGTATGTGTAGTGATTTTTTTCAGCATTTCCAAGCATCATATACTATATAACTATCTTGGTGGAAACACACACATACACACACACGCTCGCGCGCATGCACGTTCAAAACTACAACAGCAACAAATACCGACATATAGATAGATAGTTTAACTAAGTTAATTTTGATGGGCATTATATCATGACATGAAAGAAAAATACTTTTGGTCTGCTGGCTATTTACGAATTGCGTGTTTTATAACTTATTCACATCTGTGACAAATCAATCAAAGTGTTCATCTAAAAATATCTAAAATATTATTAAAGACTTGCAGATGGTAAATTAAAAAAAATTGATTGATTTAAAATGAATGTGTCATTTCCACAAACATTATTTATCAAAATAATGTAATGAAACTCGGTTAAATGTGAGCAGAATTTCTTTTCTAGCTTATTTCATATGATAAATTGATTTTGTATACCAAATTACTGGTACTAAATGATTGGTGTTTGCACTTTATCTTTAGCGTTATGGCACGGAGATATAGTTTTATAACAGGCAGTTTGTGTGTTTTGGTGTGTGCGTGTCAAGTCATACATCGTTTCTACTCCACTAGCAATTATTTATATGTTTATGAACTTCTGTATAAAAGTTTTCACAGTTCTGCCACATAATTGATGACAAAATAATCTATCATCATTTATCATATATTTAATTAGTTGAATTTCATGTTTTATATCAACTGTCGGGTTTAATGATAAAAAATTACTTGGACGCGCTTCATAATATACTAAAACAATAGACTATGTAAACAAATTATGATATTAACATTCATGGCAGTATACATTTATTTGTTTGTTTTTATTGATTTTACGGTGCACAGACACAATTTAAGTCATATGGCGCCGTTTAGGAAAGCTGAATTTGGCTTTCCTATGGTGTTACAAACTTACATAACCAGGGGTCAAAACCCCCTAACCTGCTCTAGTTCAGAGATACATAAACTCCAGTAAGTCAAATCATTTGTGACGCCTATATACGATCACGCAGGGATAAAGGTTGTCTGAAGTTCTGATGCCTTAACCCTTTTAGGCAACCTCTCGGCCACAAGGGGGTCAAAGCACTAAACGTACACCGTATAGTTAGTCAATGATACAATGATATTACAAATAGAAGAAAAAACAACAAAATTAGTTCTCGAAATTGTAATCAATACTATAATAAAAGAAGTTTTTACTATTCCATTCCCAGTTAGTTTAAAATGTGCTATACCCTATTTATAAAATGACTATTTTCCACTTATTATTTAACTACGCGCTTACTAAGATCGTACAGAGTAGATATTGTAGACTTACATTCTCGTACCTTTTTAATTAGTAAAACGTGATTTGTGTGTTGCTAAGGGATGGCTCAATGCAATCTTTTATGTACGGACTAGTTATGTTTATAAATAATTTCCTTTGTGAATTGTGATAAATAATCAGCCGCATTCGCGCCTTATACCTAATAATAGAAACGTGAAAATTGCATCTCCACGGGGCAGCCTTGAATTCTTTGGTCATCACAATTAACTGTAAAAATATAGAATACATAACAGCTAGTGTATCAATATTTATGCTAGACAGTAAGTAATAAAGATATCTTTGTGTTTTGGGGATATACAGTCTTGATTTTGGGAATGTGTTCAATTCTCTAGCTTTTATGCCTTATAATGCTTAGTAAAATGTTTGACAAAGAACAAAAAAGCTAAAACCCATTGATTGAATCATTATTATAATGTTTGTGTTTAGATTTGCACGATTTTGCCCATTATACAAGTGTAACAACCTTTGTGTTTGAACTATTTTTCAGTGTAAGTAAAGGCAGACATTGGTAATAAGGCGTAATTATGGCGTCTCCACCCGGCATAACTTATGCCCATTGTAGAACTACCCCGACTATAAAATTTTGACTGTCTTGAGTTCATTAGTATCATTGATTCAAGTTTGTCTAGTCATAAATGCTTCAGTGGAATTTCAGTTGTTAATGATACTTGTTTTGATGTGATGGAAGTAATAACTCAACTATATCGTATACAATGGCAGCCAAAGATGTGTTTTTATTCAAATAAGCAATGTAGTGAAATTGGAAAGTCAGTGGCCAAACATTTTGTTTTGCATGAGTGGTTACATTTTGCAATACAAAACAATCAAACATTATTTAAACTTTATATTCCAGTCTTTTGTGAACTGCACAATGGGAGTGTACAGTCTTGGACCAATACTGATGTGCTTTGGAGGAGTGAGTGCTCTAGCTTCTATTGTAATCAGTAAGTTTTTCGTTTCAACATTTTAATTTAATTTTATATTAAAAGTCCAATATGCCTCAGAAATGCTATCATTTTTTATTTCACAAAATCATCTAAGTTTCGTATCTTGTTACAGTTTCTAAAAATTACTGATTTGCCATAAAGATAAACTACCTTTGCTTCTTTTGCTTTGCTGGCAATTGCTATATTTATAGTGAATCAGTATTGTGTGTGGAAGTCAAAATACTACTTTGTTTACATTATTTGCTACATTTACAACACATTGCTGCGAATTCAGCGTTATTTTCGTCGGTATTTAAACATGTAACATGCTCTAAATCCATTAGTAAAACATTATGCAACACATGTTTGACATTTTTAAAGAATTGTATAAACATTGATTTCTGCGGCATAATGTGCTTTTAACTTACCTGAGAATAAGGCTTGTATATTAATTCACATAAATGTCAGCATTATACCAACATTTCGCATAAAGGTTTTTTTGCGATATTTTTATCATGACCACGCCCGGCTTATCGGTCATAAGGTAAATATATTTTTCCAATAAAAGAAGCGCAAAATCTAGTTTCGTTAGAAAAGACAAGACATTCACTTTCTTTTTTTTCAGGTTGTATTGCTAAACACATTAAAAGATTTGCATTTATAACTGCTGGTGCGACCTTCAATGTCGGGCTCCTTATTGTTCTCTGGTTATGGAAACCAGTCCCGGAAGATGTGCCAAATTTCTTCGTAGTCGCAGCTTGCCTAGGACTCTGTGACGCAATATGGCAAACACAAACATACAGTAAGAATATTCTTGAGCATGAATTATATCCTTCCCCTAAACGAGAGGACAAAACGTCTCACTGTCTAATAAATTATATAGAATTTAGATGAAAGACTTTTATTCCTAGCATTTATCTTAAAACTAAATTAAATAAATAAGTAAAAATAAAATAAATTAATTAATGAATAAATAAATAAAATAATAATAAAAAATGACAATAATAAAAAATGAAAAAAGGAATAAATAAAAATCATATAACAAATAATTCAAATAATTGAAGGATTGCTTTTTCGTCATACATTGTCTTAGCTTTCAAGTAGCGTAATAACCAAAATTAAAAGAACATATTTGATTGAAATTTCAAATGATATTTATTACAATATATTTCAGCACTCTTCGGAATTCTATTTGTTGACAAACAAGAGGCAGCCTTTGCATCATACCGTATGTTCTACGCTACCGGATGTGCTATATCATTCGGATACAGCTTTTTTCTCTGCGTACAAACCAAAGTGTATATTCTTGCTGGCATGTTAACACTGTCGTTGCTCATGTACAGTGTGATTGAAATGAAGGTCCAGCTCCAGAGTCAACACATAAAAGATATAGTTGCTTTTTGAAAAAAAGAAAGATTATATAATTTTAACTTTAATCATTATGACAGAACCTGTTTTGCTTAAATCTATCTAAAAGCAAAACAACATTTTTTTTTATTTTACTGGTCCCTACTCCTTTCTGGAGAGTATGGCCACGACACAAGCGTTTGGGAAAGTTAACGACCCTATGATAACAGTACAGCATGGAATAACCTTATCAAAATATATCATTTGATATACATTTTTACGCCAAATGAAATGTTTTAATGATATAACACTATGTCACAATTGCTAAATTAAAGGTATATATTGTTTAGAATGATAAAACATGAAGTATGTTCAATTAATGCTACATTAACATGGAAATATTTACTTACTCTATTAATTACTTTTTTCATTTAATGTCGACTTATTTGTTTTAAAATAAATCTCAGTATTCGCATCTTATCACCACTTAGCCATCTGGCTGCAACATATTCTATAATACTCCCTAAAATGTTAAATGGTTTGGTTCAGAGTGAAGGATGAACAAGTTTATTTAAGATATTTAGTGTTATAAGGGTTATTGATGAATATGTATTAATCCGTTACTTTAAGCTTGATCGTATGTTGTCTGCATACTTCTTATCTGTTATTTTGATATTGTTGTGTTTTGTTTATCATAGTTGTTAAGTCTTGACTATTGAATATACTAAATTATAATAAACTATGTTTAAATCACTTTTTGTTTTTGGTATTCTGGATAAATTTGACGCAATATTAATAATTTGACGGACATTTTAACCTTTTCTTTGTCTTTTCTTATAACACACTTGTCTTAATATATGACTCATTCCAAGAAATCTTTTTAAGACGGAAATGTAAAGTTATATAACATATATAAGACTTCATGTTCGTCAGCAATTAATAACCGTTTTACGGCATATGACAATATATCGCGTGATTTGTAATTGACAATATGCACTCCTTTACCGCTTAAAACATTGAGATTTAACAATATCCTTAACAGATCAGATTATAATTTTTAAAAATTGCACAAGTTAAAATATATTTTATGCTGGTATTCTTCAGCATTTTGCTATAAAAAGTTCGTAGAACTGTATATATTTAAATCTCGCACCATTAAGATTTTTCATGGCCACGTGCAAAGGTTGTATTAATGAGCATGAAGTATGTTTTATACTTATAAAATTATAAATAAATACTTAATATTAAAATGGAAGCAATAATGAATATAACAAACACATTACGAGTTAACATAAACATGAACACTATACTCTTTAACAAGAATAAAAAAATATAATATAACAAAGATAACAACAACAATATACATGTATAATAAAGACGATCAGAATAATTTACATCATGATAATACAGATGACAAGCAAAATGTAATAAATAGTTTTTAACATAACAGCCTTAGTAAGTTTAACTGTCCAGCACCATAGAAGTGATTGCGCAATCATCGCGTATTATTTTGAGTGCTAAGCTATTAGATTATCGGCACGATTACTCATATTTTCTTTAGTGTAATGATACCATTTCCAAAGCAAAGAGCAGTAACATCTCTAAAGGCTTAAACATTTCTGTTTAACGCAGAATTAAGATTGATTAAAGCATCAAGTTTTCCTTTGAGGAATTCTTGTCATTTAAAACAAATCAATACAACATTAACACAACGAATGGCATTTTAAGATATTTTTTGTTATTTGTCCTTATAAAATATGATAAATAAGATCAACAAGGAAAGGCGACCTTCAATGAACGCAACCCCCAAAACGACCTAGCAAAAAGAACCAGCGGCAAGACTTCTCTAAGTTTTCATGACTTTCACTGTATGATACCAAAGACAGGAAGCGAGAAATAAGCATAATTCAATGAAAAATTTGACGAAATAGGACAGGCAATATAATCGTTCGGCCGTTGTACTCATTAAATTTGGTTCGACCATTGTACACGTTTTTAAAAAGATGCACAACTTCGTTATGCAACTTTACAAAGGATGGAAATTGTTCTTGACGGGCAATTGTGCACAAGATGGCATTGCTAATTTTTCTCAAAATGCGTTTCTTTTACTGAAAACAACGTATTTTTGTACCTGTTCGGCCATTGTACTCATCACCCAAAACAACTTTGTCGACTTTCAGGCCTAAACAGAGAGAGCTACAAAGTAACCAATAACAGAACAGTACGTGGTTTTATACAGGGGTTCCGTGCGCCTATTTTTACATATAAATTTAACGTTAACTGTATGCCTACCTCAATTTCACTGCTTTTACCGAGCGTTTAAGCCGCCATTTTATGAGCCCATTGTACGATTTTGGTGACGTGATCATCCGCAGTGTTTTTATATTTCTTGATAGCAAATAATTAACACAGACACGCATAAACAGTAGGATTTCTTTTAATGGAGATAGCTATTTGTTATTTTTGTTTCTCTGATATTTTTGTCTCCATTTAGTACGTTGTTGTTTTTTCAAAACATTTATCTACGTTTGATAAAAGAATATTAAAAAAATGCGGCTGAACAAATAAAAAAAAACAACAAACGATATAATATCAAAGAGTGCAATAAATAGTTTCACATTAACCAAATATCAATTATGAGAACTTAAAATACTAATTTCAGCAATGAATGTATATAGCTTTGTACTTCAAATACCAAGTGGGATACTTTATGCGTTTCAATCATTTTTCAGAATATATTCAGGGGTTTTTTTTACTAACAAATTGACACCGATAGTCGGCGTCTTCCCCTCGGTAAATAGCCAAGTTTTTTCCCCCAAAAAATTCTATTTTCCTTTAAACTGGATCAGATTTAATAATTACATGGTTTAAAATATTATTTTTCTTCATTTTATGCAGGATAAACCACCAATTGTTGTTCAAAATAACCAAAAACATTGCAGGAAACTGCAAGTACTGTCTCAACATGGAGGCAGCCATTTTTTTTCTTGGCTATATCCCGTACTGAACGGTACTATTTCTGGAAATCAGTTGCTATCAAAATATTGTCATTTTCTTGGTTATTTTTAGTAAAGTAATATATTTTGTACTTCTTATTATGAAAATGACTTATATGGAGCTAAAGTGTGTCACAGATACACTATTATACCTATACTGTATTAACTTTCATACAAAAATAGAAGTATAAAAACCATTCACCACCATACATATTAAGAAAATATGTTATACTGCAAAGAATATTTTGCATGATGATAAAGTTTTTAAGGGGAAAAAGATATAGTTGTAACTCTCTACTATGTAGTTAAGTATATAGTATAAATAACGTCATAATAAAGTTTCCCCAAATTGACTTTTTTCGTATATTTTTTCCCCTCCCTACCAGCGTCCAGCGTCTTCCCCTTTTCCTAAAAAAAACCCCTGATATTATTCCTATTAGATACCCTCTTTTACATAATTTGTTCATTTCATTTCAGCTTTCCTTTATTCTAACAAATGTTTTCAGTCATATTAGGACATATAATACACCTTAAAGGCTCTCCTTGAAAACAGACTAGAAATTGCCATTTCTTAACAAGAGGGCCATGATGGCCCTGAGGTCGCTCACCTGTATATAGGCCCCCCACCCCCGGGCCAATTTTTACCCAAGGGCTTTTATTTGTTTATTTGAACAGACTTGGTAGACACCCATAAGAAGATGTTTCATGCTAAACATCTAAGTTCTAGCTCATTGGCTTTTTTAAAAGAAGATTTTTAAAGTTTTTACTATACACATATAGTTAAAAACAATGTCACCCCTGGGGAAGGGCCAGTTTTGACCCCCGGGCGTTTATTTTAACAAACTTTGTAGATATTTACTTAAAGATGTTTCATGCTTAATATCTAAACTCTAGCTATTTGGGTTTTTCCAAAGAAGATTTTTAAGTTTTTGCTATACACATATAAGGAAAATCAATGACCCCCGGGCGGGGCCAGTTTTGACCCCAGGGCTTTTATTTGAACATACTTGGTAGACACCCATTAGAACATGTTTCATGCTAAATATCTAAGCTCTAGCTCTTTGAGTTCTTTAAAAGAAGATTTTTTTAAGTTTTTACTATATGCATATAGGGAAAATCAATGACCCCCTGGGGCGGGGCCAATTTTGACCCCAGAGCTTTTATTTGAACACACTTGTTAGACACTCATTAGAAGATGTTTCATGCTAAATATCTTAGCTCTAGCTCTTTGGGTTCTTTAAAAGAAGATTTTTTAAGTTTTTACCATATGCAAATAGGGAAAATCTATGACCCCCTGGGGCAGGGTCAATTTTGACCCCAGGGCTTTTATTTGAACAAACTTGGTAGACATTCACTAGAAGATGTTTCATGCCAAATAGCTAAGCTCTAGCTCTTATGGTTCTTTAAAAGAAGATTTTTTAAGTTTTTACTATATGCATATAGGGAAAATCAATGACCCCCTTGGTCGGGGCCAATTTTGACCCTAGGGCTTTTATTTGAACAAACTTGGTAGACATTCACTAGAAGATGTTTCATGCCAAATATCTAAGCTCTAGCTCTTACGGTTCTTTAAAAGAAGATTTTTTAAGTTTTTACTATATGCATATAGGGAAAATCAATGGCCCCCAAGGTTTAATACATGATTCTCCTTTTGATACACATGTCTTAACAATACGTTTAGATGATTTATGTCACTTGTTTACAACACACAGAATAAGATAGCAGTTCAAAATGAGATATCTTTGTGACCAAGTTTTCCTTTTTAATTTCATTACTGAGATTCACTTTCTAATCTGCACTCTTTGTTGAAATCATGCCTTGGACTTTCTTTCTCGACTGGATACTTTATCGTTAAGCATGGTTACAGAAGGGTCGATGGATTTTTTAACATGCACACTCGTGCCTGAAAACGTTATGCCAGTTAAAATATAATAAACAAAATTAACAAGGAAAGGCGGCGTTCAATGAACGCATAACCTGAAAAGTTGTCACATCACATGACTTGTTGGCGTGAGATGAGAAAACAAACACAACTTTCCAAAAGTGAATAGACATAATCTTTTACATCGTATCAACAATAAACATGATTTTGTTTGTTTGTTTGTTTGGATTTTTACGGCACGTCAACACATAACTGGCCATATCGTGCCGAATGCTATAATAGGCTTAAAATATTATGTAAAACATTGTAAATGACAATAGAAATGAGCCAATTAGATCCTAGAAAACAAGTTTATCTCTTTTAAATAATCAATTATGTTTTTTGATGGAATTGAATTAAAAAGTTCTTTGAGTGAATTTACAGAATAAAATCTATTACGGGCCTGTGAAAAATCATGACATTCAAGAAGAAAATGCTTGACAGTAAAATTTTCATTACAACCTACACAGAAAGGGGCATTGTCATTTGTGAGGAGATAAGAGTGGGTAATTTTAGTGTGTCCAATTCGGCATCGAAGAAGAACTGTTTGATCACGGCGGTTTGACAGAGATAGAGATGGTGACATATCAAGAGATGGGTTTATATCGTGAAGTTTATTAAAAACGGCATTGTCCCAATTTGCTTTCCATTCAGATGATACGAGTTTATTTATAGCCGGTCTAAAATCACAAGCAGGTAACAATAAGTCAGTTTTTTGAAAATTTAATGATTGTTTAGCTAAAGCATCTACTTTTTCATTTCCTCGTATTCCTACATGGCTTGGAATCCAATATAATTTAACATATTTTGTTTTTAGTATATCATGAAATCGCAAA